TTACATATTTAGTGCGCACACCTTTTCTCAGCAGACAGTCCCAAAGGGCACATCGAGCTACCGGTTTGAAGGCACCTTTGATATAGAGAAACGCGACAACGGGAGGTCTCCAATAAACATGGCGATGCACTAACAATTGACCCAAAGGGAAGATCTGGTTGATGCAACCTCAACTTCGACGAAAGCCGGCTTGCTCTTCGCAAAGGTGGCGTTCACGAGCGCTAGTCAGTCTGTGGAGAATGACAGGGGCAAGCAATTTAGAGGCTATGAAGATCAGACTGATCCCCTTATGGTTGCCGCATGCCGAACGGGCGCTTCCCTTGAAAATTGGGACAATGACGGAAAGGTTCCAGTCTATCGGGACAGTCTCCTGCTCCCAAAGTTTTACCAGCAACTCGTGTAAATCATCGCCTAGACCAGGTCCCCTGCATTTGAAGAGGGCCGGGGGAATCCTATCTGGCCCTGAGACCTTTTACAATTTCAGCGCTCTGATCGCACGTTCGACTTCTGCGCCTAAGGCCGGATCCAAGGAGATGACCCATGGAGAAGGACGCTCAATGCCCGAAGAAAAAAAAGCGATAACGCAGTTGCTTAAATTGCCTTGCAAGGTGCTCAGCCCAACGCTCCAAGCATTTTGACAGGCTGTGGATCGGCTGCCCACTCTCGCCACGTATTGTTTCGCTAACATCAGGTCCCCTGCTGCCTGTTTCCCGTATCAGACGGAATAACTTACGTTTATTACCAACGGCAGCGGCTGTTTTCATCTCCGAGTCACGATGAGACCACCAGGCTTCGCGGTCTTTCTTCCGGCTAGCACATAGTTTTGCCCTGAGATTTTCGCGAGCCTCATTGTATTCGCTTCCAGTCGGAATACGTCGGCTAGCATCCAGAAGTTCCAGAGACCTAGTAGAAACCAAATGTCTAAATTGGTAATTTGGTTTGCCACATAAAGACATGCTTGCTGATAGTAGCGTTTGACGCATATGCTACCAGTGATCATCGACGATGTTCAGTGGACGCTTACTCAGCCCGGATGTCAGCGCACTTTGCCGCACATTTAGAACACCTGGCTTCGCCATCTGACTGGTATCAATGAGCTCAGAGCGACGTTTCGGACGTCCGCCGAAACGCACCCGCTGGTTGGCACACACGACAGAGTGACCGGAGTCCACGCTGGTGTCCCAAATCGAGCGACAGTTTTGGACACAGCCTCTCCACCGGTAACTTATCGCAATGTGCTCGATTTGCTTCCTGGCTTGCCCGAGACTGGTGGGCGCCAAGTCACTCTTCTGCAGGTGCTGTATCGAAAGTTAGTGCTCGTGAGAAAGAGACGAGCACCTTCATGCAGGTGTGGCAACCGCTCACCGTTATCATTACGGGTGCCTACAACATGTTGGCCGCCCAGATGAAACTCATCAGAGGACAATTTTCCGACTTGGGCGTTTAGATCGTCAGCCAACACTACAATATCCGTGCTTCGTCAATAATGAAGGTGGTCGTGAACTCGCTGATAGAAGTCATCTTTTACTGAGTAAGTGATACAGTTTGTAAGAGCGTAGGCTGCGATGACAAGCACGCACCGTTTGCCTCTGCGCGACTTCGAAGCCTGGAACGAGCCAGCTAATCTAACGGCGCACATCCGACTGTTGACTGGATTCCATTCGGTCAGGACAGCTTCAGCCGAGGGACTCAAAACAATGCCGACGCCAGCTTGACCGGCATTTGAAGCTGCATCATCGCCAAACAGGCGCAATGAGAATGTGCCACCAGTGTCGCATGTGGGAATCGCTAGGTAAACACGGAGATCGAATCTTTCAGGCCGGTTTCTGCTAAACAGCAAACATTGATCGATAGGGTCTTGAGTGTTCGGACGAATGCTGCCTGTTGGCTAATCTGTAGCAAAGTGCGCACGTTGAGGCCTGCTAGTCTTAGCGAGGATCGAAGACTCCAAAGGGAAATGGATGAACTGACATTGTCCGCTTGGTTGAACATGGACTTATCGACTGGATTGGAGCTACGCCCTGAGACTGTGTGTGAGTTGAAACCAGAAAATAAGCGACTATGGAAGCAAGGTGGGGTCAAGAATTGGGGGATTGAAAAGCAGGGGATAAAAGGGAAGTTGGAGTGGGACAATGAGGACGAAAAAGCGCAAGAAGGGAGCTGAGAAGATGGGAAGGCCTAAACTGTAACCTCCAAATCCCTATCCTCCGTGCTCGACGCAGCAGGTAGGGCGCCTTTTATTATCCTCTGCGACGGCCAGAGCATCAAGAAAGTGTTAGAAGGAATGTTATTTGTATTGCATGGGCAGAATACTGTCAGTTTGCCCAGGCCTAGACAGGAGAACGTTTAGGGTTCTCAACCAAAGCCTTTGGTTCAAAAACCTTACCTCCAGTCAGTGGAGTTTTAGCATTGGGCTATAGAGAGGCCGTTTTATGGAGTAAGGAACCACCAGTACTCTAACCCCAACTTGGAGGGCCAGGAGACGGAGTTTGTCTAGTTTCTAACCATTGGCCAATCTGGTATGAGTGGCTCTGAAGGTGTTGAAGCACCACCCAGCATAGCTCAATGGATCACTGAGGCAAACAAACCATCGTACCAAGTTAAGGTCCAGTCTCATCGCAATGGACCATAGATAAGGTCTGATTTCGATGCTCTTCTCGCACAATCTGATAGTACTCTACCTAAAGGGATACAAATATAAATCTTTACAGCTCTCCTAGCAAAATTCCGAAGTACTACAAGTGAAAAGCTTGTCCAAATCTTTAATGAAAAACAGCGCAAATTGCGTACATAGCAAAAACATACAACCTCTGCTTTGCTAATGACTATCTGTACCACTTTCAGATGCTTGGGATTAGGTTTATTTAATCTTGCTTACTGCTTTCGGGCCGGAGGAAACAACGCGCGTTTGGTCACGACTGAAATCTATCAATCATAAAACAAAATGTCAACTAATAAAATGTAGTCATTTATATATGTCCGGTGCTTCTTCTAGACATGGTTCCGAGTTGGTTAGTGATATCTGAGGTGACCTCATGCAAGAAGACATACCTTCTTAGTGATCAAAGCTACTGACCATGCAACTCGACCTATGGGGCAGGGTAATGGGTTCGGGAAAGCTGATCACTTACGCGCCTGAGAATGCCTGAGCATAGCCGGTCCGACCAAGTACAGCCATCTGTCCGGGATTTCTAGTATCCCTTAGCCGCAATAGCAGTTAAATGGAACACCGTAACAAGTACTCATACTAATTCATCTGATCAACTGAATGTCTTGACCATATTTCAAACAATTATCAGAACTTTATGACTGGTCTGCAAAAGACTAAATTATGTTGGGTCCCAATAGATTTGACATCAGGGGCAGGAATTAATGTTACTCCGCGACGTCAAGCGTAGTGTGGCTTTGGAATGGACCTCGTTCTACTAATACATGGTTTTGGAACACTCGCCGTGTATCTCGGATTGCGGCACGCAACCTCAGTTGTGGCTTCAGTTGTCTTGGGAGACAATCTATGCCGTTTTGATTACCGGGATCATATCCGAAATGCTGGATTTCGGTGTTTGTCTCTCCCACCCCTACATTCTACGACTCTTTTCGACTTTGTTTGGACTCAACCGGTAGAGATAGCCTGAGCTGGTACCATAACTCTGCACATAGTGGTCGGCGGCTATCACCATGATCACTATGCCACTGAGCTGCATCAGAGACGCTTGAGACAGTGCTTAGAAGTTGATTGTCGTGCTCAGAAGCACCCACAGTGTGTCGGATTGCGTTGGCCGCCGGTTCTGCGTGGCCTCTGGCTAGAAGCTTCAGCTGGCATCCCACTGTTCCAGGTTCGAGCTGCACTGTTTTTGCCGCTGTCTGCTACATTCAAAGAAGCTCGAAACCGCTCATGGAGTGCTATTTTATGAGTGGGTAGCTCCTAAAATTCATCTGTTTCAGCCTCGGCCACAGTGACCAAAGGTATTGCACTTCACTACAAGATGCATCGCTGTCCTGTTTGTGACTGTGAACCTCAGTCTATTCACACAGCGAGTGGGTCATAACGGCTACACGTTTTTCACAACAACTTTTTGTGCAAAACCAGCTTGTTTTCGGATGCTACGAATGTGTCCATTTTTTTCCCTCGTTTGCTGACGTTGGTAACCGTTTTATTCTTGGTTGCCGCCAAAGAATAGACCGTAAAAAGTCGGCACAGACATTGGAGTTGTCTGTCTATTGTGGCCTCCATCATCCCATCGAACTGCTTAATCCAGGCGACCGACATCAAAGGTTGGCGGCCGACCAAAGTGCAACGTGACTGTACACCGATTTAAAAAGATTTTGTTAAGATTTATGGATAGTCAGTCCAGAACTGTTTCTATTTTAACGCAACTAAATGTTGAGTGCTGCATATACGACATCAACTGATCTACATTAATAAGTTTGGAGACCAAAATCGGCATTCACGCTCTCGAAAAAAGGAGTTTGGTGCGTTGATCCAGGAAGACCTCAGCTGCTCAGTGCTGTTCGAGGTTGCATCAAATAAAGGGATAAAAACCGACGCTTGTAAGAATAGCATTAAATCGCCTCAAACGAGTTAGTTTCTCCCAAATGAGTTCAGCATATATACGCTATCGCGTAGCATATGTAGCACAAGCATCGCATACATGTCAGAAGACGGGTCTCGTTGTTTTGTAGATTCCACCACGTCGGCAAGCAAGAACATCAATGGGCTACACCACATACCTTACTAACAATGGCTGAGTATTCTGTGAACTTTTACTGGACGCTGCTGGCGTCTGTGTGGTGACCGCATCATGGTTTACCGGATTTTATTTAAATCCAGTGTTTCGTTAAAGCTCAGCTATGACAGCAGCATTTTCGGATGGCTAGCCGAACAACCTCCAAGTGGTATCAGTTGGGTGGTTCGGGTTAATGCCGTTCCAGCGCGTAGTTCGGCGGCAGTGTTCCAGGACGTGGTGGGTTTTCACCTGGCAAGCGTTCTCCATATAAAAAGCCACAAACATCCATTTAACAACACTGCGACCTGGTAGATATGACTTGTCACTAAATAAAGATACTGCCTCTTTCCCTTCCAAAGGATCTCCACTTCACAAACGTCAACCAGTTCGAAGGATTCCGTTGCACGCTTCATACAATGTCAAACACAGCAAACAATCACAGTCACACTTTATAAGTTCACTCACCTTGCCCACGAATACATACATGATTGGCGGCATCCGGTTTCGGATTTGCATGTCACTGTGAGCAGTCACAGGACGCCCGTGCCTACAGAGGGACCATGGATAGCTTGCGCTGCACCACCCACAGCTCCAACCACACACCCCATATCCAGTGTAAACCAGAAGGAATAACACCGGGAGGTATGTGGATGGGAACTACGTTTCATCAACGGAGTCGGCCCACACTTCTTCACAGGCAAACACAAGCACGCTGTATTTGGGAAATCAATCGCACACAAGGCGGCGGCTGGACCGTAGTCCGCTCCACACTGGGTGCATGGAATCACTCTTTGATCCTAACACGGCCACAAGAGCCGTGCACCCCGTCCCCTCCAGCAAGGACGAACTGTGTTCTAGAGCCAGTATGAACTAGGTAGTGGATAATAGACAAGTAGGCACCTTGTCAACATGCACATCAAGCGCAGCCCCACCAGCCAGTCACTTGAAATGACATCAAATAAATTATATCTTAAAGCTTACGGATATGCCGACATAACTCTTCACTAAATTAGCATATGAAGTAAGTTGGTTAGCAACTGATCCGCGATAAGTACAAATGCCTACAAGTTCTCCAAAAAATGCTACAAACGCAATAAAGTTAACGAAAAACACCACAATAAACATAAGCAACGAGTGCAAGTTTATAAAAAATTACTCAGGTAGGCTGAACAAACCAAATAAGGTGGAATGCAATTTATCCAGATTAAAAAGACCTGGATTTAGGTTATGTTGATTTAACCCAACTGCGGTGAAGGAGCATCATAAATACAACACCATCATCAGCATGGGGCACGCTACTAAGACATACACACAAATGCACACAAATGTTGCTGGTTAGCTTGCTGTATTTTGCTACGACTACCGACCATACTTGTTTGTAGTATCATAATCATGCCGTCGCAGGCGTGCCCCACGCTGTCGGAAATAAAACACTTACTTACGTATTTATTTATTTAACTGGCAGCTGAGTGATGTATGGACTGAATTTCTCCTTGTTTAGTGTCTATCACAAATGGAATTCATTCCCAACATTTGTTATATTAGACAATAAATTAGTCGTGTTCAACAATCGTGCCGACAGTGCACTGGCTGCATTATGTCACATTATATAATATACACGACCCGTACGAATATCAGAAAGCCAAACTGCATCAAATGGCTCCAATTTTGATGCGAAAATCAATAGTGAAACTTGTATGTGACCATATGGAATAATTCAGACGGATAAAGGAAGAAGGTTAATATAGAGTTACCTTTCAAAGGGGATTTCAATACGCTGAATACAATTAAGCATGCAGTCTCGGATGCGCAAGGAGGTTACTACTATACGCAAATTGTCGTCATTAACCCAAACCAAAATTTGCCCGTACATCCAACGAGAGAAGGGCAGCATATCAGGGCCAGCTCACACTGATTATACCAACATGCGTGTACCTGTGGAACTAATAACATAGACAAAACTGATAAGACTTTGACTTCCTGAATAAAGGCTCATGTACCGTAATGAATTCCGTGTGAAATCGACCAAATCCCTGCTGCAACGTTGCACTTGCCTCTACTCTGTGCGCCGTCAACGCAGCTGACGGAAAAACAGAAGACTCAGAACTGCTACACCGAAGTGTATTAGGAGCAGGCATGGTTAACTGTATAGATCACATGCACTCACTTTAATCATCCGGTACTGGGCCGATTCACGTCACTTTTCTAGACAGATTCAAAACTGCAAGCGACCTCTACTGTCTAGCTGTAGTAACGTGCACGCCCGCGCCATAGGAACCCGTGTGATGATGATGAACTGGGTGAATCAGCTGATTGAGAGATCTACCTTAGGTCCAGGTCTTTTCTCGAAACCGTGGTGCACCGTACATCAATTGTGGCTTCCTGATTCCTCCACTTTCGAACTGAGCCTGACTGCGTACCGTACGAACTCGACTTTTCATATGTATTCGTCTTGGGATCAACTTGTAGCCACTTGTAGCCGCTTTTGGGTCGGCATGCATTGTGCGTTATCTGGTGTGTGCAACTTCTGTCGTCATCCATGTAGCCGTTCAGCTTCGTGTTCTAAACAAAACGTGTAGGGATGGCGGTTCTAGAGGACATTGAGTCTTGCCGTAATCCGGCCACGGCTGATCGGGGGCCTGATCTATTTCTCATTCCCAACCACTAGCTCGAAATGAGTGGATCATTTCTGCCAATCACCGTTCATGTCCAGTACCTTCTCGGCCCTCGGAAGTCTCGCGCATACACCAAACCGTCAATTTCGAAATGGCTGAACCTGTCTCGAAGATTTTCCTCTACTTGACAATTTCAGTACTTTCCTTTGATGTTTGGCACAAGGGTATCAAACATTGTCCAGCTCTTTCGTCTAAACCAACCTTCGTCAGGGGCTTTTCCATCTGGGGCCTCTGGGTTTGGCGCATTCGAATACATGCACAGGAAGGACTGGATCGCGTCTGGTAGGACCTACTTTTGCCTGGCTCTACAAAGAGCAAGTATTAGGGTATCTATGAGCCACTCCGCCTGTCCGTTTGATTGCGGATGCTAGGATGGTGAGAATATTTGCTGAATTCTTTTCTCATTGCACCACTTGCGAAAAGAAGTTGAAATCAATGGAGTCCCGTTGTTTGGCACCATCAGCTTTTGCAGGCCGAAGTATTGGAACAGCTTATCCAGCTTGTTGCTCGTGTGCTGAACAGTCTGACTTTGCATTGGGATCACATAACGGGTCATTTGGTGAGAGAGAGTGCACCAAAATGGGATAGGATTGAACGGCGATTGGTCCTGCATAATCTAGCTGGATTCGTTGCCATGGCTTCTCTGATTTAGGCCAAGATTGACAGGCGCACTTGGGAAACGCCTTCACTCTCAGTTGACAAGATTTGTGTTTTCAAAATAATTCTTTAATTTCTGAATCCATTCCAAACCGATAAGCCAAGCTGCCTGCTAAGGTTCTCATACATGTGGTACGGGGATTCCCGGTATGAAACTGTTGTAAGACTTGCCTGTCCAGATCTTTTGGCACCATCTCTCAGTTCCCAAACAACAAAAATTTGTCCGCAATGAACAGTGACATACCTCGATTGAAGAAAGTCCGTAAGTCAACAGGGATACCAACACTTGGCCACCGTAATACATCCATTTCCCTAGGTTTTTGTCTCGGAAAGTCTTCGCACGAATGGAGTCATTTGTCACTGGTAATCTTACATTATTAGTCAGGATTCGCCGGATTTCTGACCCGAATTCGATAGCTGTACACAATAGATCAGTGCCTAGCTTTTGCGAGGAAACGAGTCCTGGAACGACCATTCAGTCAAGTCCTTTTAGTGGGGGGACTTCAACCGGCACGCAGTCGAATTTACAGCATCGCACATCGAACAATTCGAGGCTGCTTTGGAAGAGGGATTGCCGATGTGCCTCTGTACAACCATGTCAGCCCTCCCGCACGATTCCGAACGGGTGACGCATCCTTTGTCTTGGACCTAGTGCTCTCCAACGAGGAACTAATGGTCGACACCGTGACCATAGATGCGTCACTTGGCCGTAGCGATCACGCGATGTTGCACTTTCGTTAAATCCGTTACTCGGAGTACATCAGTGAGAACAACGTGGAAACCTATGTCGTTACACATTACGGTATCCTGTCCAACCTCTTTCAAGAAACCCACTGGTCCATCCTGGCCGAGAAGCCACCGGACGTTGCCTGCATATTGTTCGTCACCCAATTCACTGAGGTAGTGGAAAATGCGTCCGAAAACAAGGTTGTTCGCCCGAAGCAAGTGAATTCGTTCCTGAGAAGCCGTACTAAAAATGTATGGCCTTGAGTGATTCAGCATGGTACGCTTACAAAATCTGTCCAAGTAACCTGACCAGGGATGCTTACACAACTCAACAAATCCCCTGCTTCAACTTGATCCGAGAAGACAAACTTCAGCACCAAACAAATTCAGCGACGAAATTCCGTACAAATCCCAAGTTGCTCTATAAACACGGCAACAAGCTCCGCAGAGTGCAGCGCGGGATCCCGGTTTTACGTGCAACAGGTGGTCTTGTGCAAACCGCACAAGATGCGGCCAACGTGTTTCGCCAACACTTTATCCATACTTTCCGGAGTGAATCATCATTTCCTCCGCTTTGGACACAGCTTCCATCGGCAGCAGGGTTAAAGCAAGTATCGTTCACGGCAGCCAATGTGATGAAAACGTTAATGTCATTTCACGTGCACAGCTCATCTGGCGTGGACGGCCTCAACCCGAAGGCATTGAAGACAGCGGCCATGAACCTTGCCGAACCATTAGCTCGGTTCTTTCAACGTTGTCTTGACGAAATACAGGTTCCCACAATGTGGAAACATGGAGTAATCACTCCCATTTCTAAAACTGGTAATCGTTCGGAGCCCTCAAACTACCGTCCAGTCACTCTCGTCCCAGTTTTATCCAAAGTAATGGAACTTATAATTGCCGAGATGATCATGGGATATCTTGAGAGTAATAACATCCTAGTGTCACAGCAACACGCATTCTGCCGAAATCGATCCTGCACTACAAACTTGCTGCTAGCCCGAGCAAGCTAGACAGAGTCAGCCGATGCCGGAGTGCGGGTCGACGTTGTCTACCTGGACTTCTCGAAAGCGTTCGATAGTTTGGACAACCTCATTCTCCTTCATAAGCTTCGAAGCTACGGAATCGGTGACTTTATACTCGGTTGGATCGGCAACTTCCTCGCTCAACTTCAGGTGAATATGAGAGTTCGCAGCTCCAGTTCCGACCCAATTGACGTCCAGTGTGAAGTGCTACAAGGATCGGTACTGGGGCCAGGTTTATTACTAACATTCATTAACAATCTTGCCAGTGTATTGCAATCGAATTTCTTACTATTTGCAGATGATGTCAAAATTTGGCATGATATCAGGACATTGGAGGACAACCTGGCATTCCAGAGCGATCACGACAGGGCTCATGCATGTTCATCCGATAACCGGCTCCAGTTCAATGTGATCAAGTACAAAGTCGTAAACATTCGCTGTCAGCTTATCTAGGAATATCGACTTGGGGATCAGCAGTTACAACGTGTTTCCCGTGAAAACGACCTCGGGGCGATCGTGCAGTACGATCTTGGTTGCCCGAGACAGGCTGAAAATGCATCAAAAGTGCCACAGCATCTTGGACTCTTACGGCGGGTTTTCGGGAATGTTGAGCCACCAATCTTTCCGCAAATGCTGAACGCCTACGTGAGGTCTCACGTGGAATATGCGATTCAGGCCTGGCGTCCCTGGCGCAAGCGCGACGTCGATGCAATTGAAGCTCTACAACCTAGAGCGACCAACCTCGTCAGAAGATTGTTCCATCTCTCTTACCAACGCAAA